TTTGTCCCAAAAGGTGCTGAGACCATAGGCGGAAAGGAACGCCTCGTCTCTGAACCAGTCCGGATGAGGGACCCAGAATTTGGGGACAATGATTTGTGTCCCATCATCCATTGGTTGTGTAGTTTTCTTAAACAGTCCTGGCTCCATAATGGCATCCCAAGCCTCAGTCGGTACTCTTGGGAGGGCGCACTTCTTTCCCAATAGAGCCGGGTTCTTGTTGTAACGGCGCAGCCGGTGATAAGCAGCCGTAGATGGGGAAGAGACGAAATAAAATTTGCTCTTCCCGCTTGTCCATTTGGAGGGCTTCTCCAATGTCATCATGTATTCCGGATGCGTGGTGAGTGTGTACCACGCATTCCAGCCACCTGGGACACAGCTCAAGTAGTGCATGTGTGCGAACGCCTCCCAGCTAGGCGTCACGTCCTCCATCTCGCAGGCGGCAATATATCCCAAAATATTCACCCAAGAGTTGGGTGTGAGCTGCTAGACGCCAAGGTCGTAACCCCTTAGAATGGCTTTGATCGTTTTGTGAAGGGGGAACCGGAGGCCGGCTTTGAATGCCGCCTCGTAGCAGCCGAAGTAATTGTCGGCATGTTCTAAGTCGTCATCCTAGATGACGGTTGCATCAGCAGGCGGGACGCCAACCTCCCAGACGGCCCCTACCGGGTGCTTCTCCAAAAATGTCGGGAGTGTTGCGTTTAACGTCACAACATCCCGGGCGCTCATGTGCGCCTCCGTTGGATTATTTATTGAAGGCCAGTTATATTCCTCCTCATCATCTTGAGGGGCATCCGGTGTCATGGTAGCCTCAGTAGATCCATCTTCCTGATCGGTTTCTTCACCGCTTGAGCTCCCGGATTCTTCAAGAATCTCATCACCGGGCGTACTCGGGACGCCCGGTTGGTCAAAAAGAACATCCTCAACCAGAGTTCCGGCTGAATCATCTGATTGGTACTCGGGGTCAACAGTCGTTTTCCTTGTCCGAGCCATTATGTCCTGCACATGAACAGAGACGGTCGGATTCGTAGAAGAGTAAGGGTGGTCTACACACCCCCAGACGGCATCCCCAGTCCTAGATTCAGCCGTGTCCGGTGACCGGTTGACAACTGCCCTAAGCCGTGTCGTGTGTGTATTGGGGGAGTCCATTATTTTCTAACAACCTATACAACCGGTAAACTCAAAAAGTTTCAAGGGCGCAAAGGTGATACCTTGAATTTGTGAAGACGTTTGTAGAAGACTTGGTGTGCCTCAGTCGTATGCAACCAAAAATATCACAACTAAGCTAACTGCAAATAAACGTAGTTAGGGAAGTCGAGTTCGAATCCACAGGGAAAAAGGGACTAATAACTGGAAACCTAAGTGGAAATACTCTAGGACGGTAGTAACCTAAGTAACGAGGGGGGTTTTCACGAGCAATGATGATAAATGAACTAAGTAAGAACAACGAACGTAATGAATAGGTAATCAATGAGAAGAACGGTCTTGGTTATGCGAAATCCACTAATGAACATACAAATTGATCATAGAAGTCTCCTCAATCAAGCTCTATTGAACACCTTGTTGTAGAATTCCTAGATTCTAAATTCTCATAAATAGTTAGAAATAGCAAAGCGCTCCTTTCTAACCCTTTCCAATGCACAATTCAAGACAAGCGCTCTAAATTATCCACAAGAAGAAAATAAACGGAGAAATCAACAAGGATTGAATAAATTAACACAAGCGGTCTAATTTCTTCAATAATATTATTCCCTCTTCAAGTTATCAACCAAAAGCATGCATCAATAACCTAAAGTTGCTACTTTGGAAAGATTAATTAGATGCAAGCGAATCCAATAATTCTAACCTAGCAATTGATTAAAGCAAATCATGAAATTAATTCAAGGAACAATATATATTCAATAGATATTAAGAGAAGAAAGATCTCACAATTCGTAGCTAAAAGCTTCAATCTTTAACCAAGAATCCGGAAGATTAAGCTTCCATGGATTCTAATTCCAAAACAAAGAATTCTGAAAATTCCAAGAAAACCCTAGAAAGCTTTTTTTTTTCTCAAAACTTAATTCTCCTTTTTTAACTTAAAACTTAATTAAAACTAAGCTATTTATATGTTTCTATATTTTAATAACATAACACAATAATAATAATAAAATAATATCCAAAACACGAGCCAAAATAAAGCCAAATTGCTGAAAATTAACCAAAACAGCCCGAATTTCTGCCAGAGCCGCTGCCAGCTGCTCTGGACCCGCTGGCAGCTGCTCTGGCAGCCCCTCACTCTGGTATACCCGCTGCCAGCGGCTCTGGCCAGCTGCCAGCGGCCCTGGCAGCGGTTCCTGCTGTTTTCGCCTTCTTTCCTTGCTTCTTCTTCTTGCTTTGCTTCACCTTTTCCTCAAGCTTTCTTCCTTGCTCTTCCATGCTCCATCACAACTCTCAAATCACGAGCCAAGGTCCATCCTTCTTACATAACTCTTCATTGGTTCCCGAGCTCACTCACTCACTTATACTCATAAATCCCGCCTTTTGCACATAAGTGAGATCACAGCCCAAAACTCACAAAAGCTAACAAAAGTACATATAAAGCATCAAAACACACCCTAAAATGCTTCTCTCAACCCATGATAAGAAGGCTTATCAAATTCCCCCATGCTTGAACCTTTACTCGCCCTCGAGTAAACTTAGAGAATAAAACACATCCTCCTCACTAAGGTTCAAAACAGAAGATGGTGGAATCAAACTAGCTCTATGCACTCAAACTCAACAAAACATCCTAGTACTTATCAACCAATCACAATCACACTCCCCCATACTTCACACTTTGAATCTCCCTTTTTTCTTATTTATCAATTCATCCCCAAAATCAACTTGGAACGATAAACGCATAGCCATGAGTATGAATATTCTCAACCGCCTAAAGAAATGAAATTTTTGATAAAATTGGGCAAACAAAAACTCAACTTAACCAAAAATCTCATAAAAACACTTCCACATTCAAGAGTGAAAACAAACAACTCATGCTCTCAAATTCCTAAGATGATCAACAAATTCCCCCAAAATCTCAACTATCTCCCAAAATCACCAAGATGAAACCTACCCCGACACCTCCTTATATCTCCTCCCCTTATGACACCGACTCCGGCAAATAGATGCGAAATTTCCTTGAAAAATCAAATTCATGAACATTTCTCTCTTTTTTCTCTCATTTTGCCTAGGAGCCCTTTCGGGTTTTCATCCTAGCCTCTCATCTTTTTCCAAATCTCACTACCTCACCCGCTCATTAGCCACCTTTTTTCTTAGGTCGCCCTTTCGGGTTTTCAACCTAACCGGGCCCCCATTTTTGCCTAAGCCGCCTTTTCAGGTTTTCGACTTAGAGGGCTTCTTTTTCTTTTTCTTTTCTCTTTTTTTTTCAATTTTTCTTCTTTGTTTTTTTTTCTTTTTTTTCATTGAAACATAATTGAAATAGCTATACAAAACCATTAAATTAGGATAACTATACAAATTTCAAAAATATGCAAGAATTGCTTCCCCCCCCCCCTACTTGAATGAGACATTGTCCTCAATGCAAGAACAACAACAATAAAAACAAAAGTAAGGGAAAGGGAAGAAATAAGTACCACCTTAATGGGAAGGATTCCCGAAGTTGGAAGATTCGGCATTATCAAGGATTTCAAAACTCTCGAGAAGAAAAATGAACTATGGGGACCCCAAGTGTTGCCCATGGGAAGATTATTCCAACCAAACGCATTTCTAATTACCGCATAAGGCATGACATAGTTCTTATTGTTAAAATTGAAAGAAATTCTTGACATCCCTTAGTCAAAGTGGAAAGGAATTCATCTATACCTCACATAAGTAGGTGCGCTCGTGCTCCATCACTTCCTCCAAACCAACCACTTGCAATGCCTCCAAATCGACGACTTTTGTGCATTGCACCATTCTTTTGGGCTGTTGAAGTTGAACCCATGTAGTCTTTTCTTTCGTAGTTAGACGAATGCCCATGAAGTCATTTGCTTGGGGAAAAGAGGGTGATACACCCTCCCTTGAAGTATCCCCTTGTTGTCTACCCCCTTGCAACCCTTGTAGGTGAAGAGGTTGCCTTCACTTGTTATGTCTTCCCATTGCACAAGAACGAATTGCACAAATCTCACCTCCTCTTTCAAAATACAATGAGCAACCCACCAAACCTCCAAACACCAAGGTTCACAAAATTCCTCAAATTTCAAGTTTAGAATTTAGAAATTGAAACAATGTTAAGGTTTAATTGGACTTGAAATTGAGGGAAAAGAGGTTAGACGAGGGGTTTTTAAATTTCTGAATTTTGGATTGAAAATGGGGCAAATGGGTTGTTTTGGATAAAGAATACTTGCTAAGGGATAGAGGGAAGTGATTAATTGGGGTTTTGGATAAAGACTAGAATGAATTGGATTGTAGGATTGAAGAAAAAGGGGTTTAAAAGGGCAAAAATTCAGGTATGCAGGGAATGCCGCTGGTAGCGGCTTGGGGCCCGCTGCCAGCGGCTTAAGAAGGAATTTAGGGTGAATGTTGCTGGAAGACCCGCTGGCAGCGGCTTGGGACCCGCTGGCAGCGGCTGCTGTAAAAAAAAATATATTTATTTTTCTTTTTTTTTTTTTTTCTTTTTTTTTCTGAAGGACACCCGCTGGCAGCGGCACCAGACCCGCTGCCAGCGGCTGGGGCAGAACTTTGGGATTTTTTGGCTGCTTGGAGAGCCGCTGGTAGCGGCTACAGAGCAGCTGCCAGCCCGCTACCAGCGGCTCCTGCAGGGGCTGCCTCCCAAAGCCTGTTTTTACCTGTTTTGCTCTGTTTTTGCTCACAATACGTACTCCCAAAGCATCCTCCTACATAAATCCACCAAAAGCACTTGGTACATCAAAAAAAAAACAATAAAAACTAAAATAAATGAAAACGGGGAAGAGTTTTCGGGTTGCCTCCCGATTAGCGCCTTTGTTTTACGTCGTTGGCTCGACACAACTCATGAAACTTCGTTAATCAATTGATGGCTCGTAGAGATCGATGTTCTCCAAATTCTCGACCTTGAACCCTTCGTAGTATGGTTTAAGCCTTTTTCCATTCACTTTGAACATGTTGTTGGTCTCTAAACTCCGAATTTCTACCGCTCCATGCGGATAGACCTTGTCAACTTGAATTGGACCCTTCCAACGGGAGCTTATCTTGTCATGCCACACCTTATTCTTTGCTTTGTGGTATACCTGGGATAATTTCTTGCCCAGAAATGATGACGGGGTGGGTGTTGCCCCTAGTGGTATAGGTGGAAGCTTGGACTGTTCATTCAATTCCGCCACCTTCACCTGCACATTAGTAGGTATAGAAGAATCCAAGCAATCACCAGACACAACATTAGTAATAGGTGTGAGGAGCTCATCCCCATGATCAATGTTAGAAACATCATGCAATATTAGATCGACAACATTTATAGAATATAAAGAATGAGTATCAACAGGATACTTTATGGTATCATAAATGTTATACACAATTGCTTTCCCATCAACCTCCATAGTCAAAGAACCGGTAGACACATCGATTTTTGTCTTAGCAGTCTTTAAGAAAGGTCTTCCTAACAGGATGGGGGCTGCTTGTTTGTCATGTTCCATATCAAGGACGTAAAAGTCAGCAGGAAAGATCAATCCATCAACCTTAACAAGTACATCTTCTACTACCCCCTTAGGATATACATTGGACCTATCAGCTAACTGAATTACTACCCCAGTTTCATGCAAAGGCCCAAGTTCTAAAGATTTAAACAGGGAGTAGGGAATGACATTGATTGATGCACCTAGGTCCAACATGGCTCGGTGTAATGTGGTGTCTCCTATTGTAACAGGAATAGTAAACATACCAGGATCACCACATTTTTCTGGGAGTTTCTTTTGGAAAACTGCAGAAACATGAGCACTCACCTTCACTTTTTCTTTTCCTCCCAACCTGTGCTTTCTCTTGATCGTACACAGTTCCTTCATAAACTTAGCAAAACGAGGAACACTTTTAATCACATTCAAGAGGGGCATATTTACCTCACATTTGCTGAAAGTCTCATAAATATCCTTGTCTTTCTCATACCTTCGAGTATCTTGCAAGGCTTCTGGGAAAGGTGGCACAGGCTCATAAGAGGTAAAGGTTGGCGGATTCGCCTTAGTTTCTTGTTCTACTTCCTCCTCCTCAACTCCAATCAAGTCTTTAGCCTTCTTAGGTGCAACTACAGTTTCTTGCAACTTTTTGCCACTTCTCAATGTTATTGCATTAACTTGTTGCTTAGGGTTCAGCTCCGTTTGGGATGGAAGCTTTCCAGAGTCCTTAGCTTCAAGTCGGCTTACTGCACTTGAGATTTGACTGACTTGATTCTCCAGGTTTTGAATACTTGATCTGGTTTCTTGTTGAAACTGCATCATATTCTGCTGCATGGTAGAAACATTAGAAGTTAGTGATCTAATCATTTCTTCATTGACATATTACCTGAATTAGAGCTTTGGCCTTGAGGTGTTAGGAACGGTGCCCTATATTGCTGAAACTGTTGTTGACCTTGAGCATGCTGATGTTGTTGGTTTCCTTGGGAATTCCCATATCTCAAATTTGGATGATCTCTCCATCCTGGGTTGTAGGTATTTGAAAAGGGATCATATCTTCTCTGCGGACCTTGCCCTTGAAAACCTAAGGCGTTGGCCTGCTCATTCTGCTCCTCTTGTAATTGAGGACATGCATCAGTGGGATGTCCCATGGAGGCGCATAAACCACAAGCATTCAGTTGATGTGGATTCCTTGAGTTCACCATGAACTCACGCATCATAGAAGTCAAATCAGCTACTTGACTCTCTAACTCAGTTGTATTCGAATTTGCTAAATTCACCCGGCGCGTGGGAGTTCTCTGACTGAATTGCCTAGAATTTTCTGCTAGCTCTGCAATCAACCTAGTTGCATCTCCTGGAGTCTTATTCACTAGCCCTCCACCACTTGCTGCATTCACCATACTCAAGTCATCATCAGTTAGACCTCCATAGAAGTATAGGATGAGGTCTTGATCGGAATACCCATGGTAAGGACAACTAGCACACAATCTCTTAAATCTCTCCCAATACTCATACAAGGATTCATCTTCCTTCTGATCCACATTGCTGATAGCTTTCTTAAGGCTTGCAGAAATAGTGGCTGGGTAGTACTTCTCAAGGAAACACTTCTTTAAATCTGCCCAAGTTGTTATGCTACCTGGGGGAAGATAGTAAAACCAATCCTTTGCTGCATCTTTGAGAGAAAAAGGAAATGCTCTCAACTGAATTTGTTCATCAGTCATCCCAATCGGTTTCATGCTAGTGCAAACTACATGAAATTCTGCCAGATGTTTATTCGGATCTTCGCCTTTCATGCCATGGAATGCCGGCAATAGATGAATTAGACCGGATTTGATCTCAACATTAGTACCTTCCTCCAACTGCTGGTATGCAATGCACAACGGTTGTTGGTTCAAGTTGGGAGCTGTGAGTTCCCTTAGAGTTCGATTGTCAGCCATCTCCTCTTCTTCTTGAATATTGAAGGAGTATGTTGATTCACTGGGGGTTGTTCTTGCCTCTTTTCGCAACCTGGAAATATTCCTTTCAATTTCTGGATCAAACTGCAAAACTTCTTTGTTAGCAGAACGGGTACTTATCATACCCTAGCGAACAAACAAAGAAAGATAGCTAAGAACAGTCCTAAAATAAATTCTACTAAGATAAACAATTAAAAAGTAACGCCTTAAGTCCCCGGCAACGGCGCCAAAATTTGGTGTGCCTCAGTCGTATGCAACCAAAAATATCACAACTAAGCTAACTGCAAATAAACGTAGTTAGGGAAGTCGAGTTCGAATCCACAGGGAAAAAGGGACTAATAACTGGAAACCTAAGTGGAAATACTCTAGGACGGTAGTAACCTAAGTAACGAGGGGGGTTTTCACGAGCAATGATGATAAATGAAATAAGTAAGAACAACGAACGTAATGAATAGGTAATCAATGAGAAGAACGGTCTTGGTTATGCGAAATCCACTAATGAACATACAAATTGATCATAGAAGTCTCCTCAATCAAGCTCTATTGAACACCTTGTTGTAGAATTCCTAGATTCTAAATTCTCATAAATAGTTAGAAATAGCAAAGCGCTCCTTTCTAACCCTTTCCAATGCACAATTCAAGACAAGCGCTCTAAATTATCCACAAGAAGAAAATAAACGGAGAAATCAACAAGGATTGAATAAATTAACACAAGCGGTCTAATTTCTTCAATAATATTATTCCCTCTTCAAGTTATCAACCAAAAGCATGCATCAATAACCTAAAGTTGCTACTTTGGAAAGATTAATTAGATGCAAGCGAATCCAATAATTCTAACCTAGCAATTGATTAAAGCAAATCATGAAATTAATTCAAGGAACAATATATATTCAATAGATATTAAGAGAAGAAAGATCTCACAATTCGTAGCTAAAAGCTTCAATCTTTAACCAAGAATCCGGAAGATTAAGCTTCCATGGATTCTAATTCCAAAACAAAGAATTCTGAAAATTCCAAGAAAACCCTAGAAAGCTTTTTTTTTTCTCAAAACTTAATTCTCCTTTTTTAACTTAAAACTTAATTAAAACTAAGCTATTTATATGTTTCTATATTTTAATAACATAACACAATAATAATAATAAAATAATATCCAAAACACGAGCCAAAACAAAGCCAAATTGCTGAAAATTAACCAAAACAGCCCGAATTTCTGCCAGAGCCGCTCCCAGCTGCTCTGGACCCGCTGGCAGCTGCTCTGGCAGCCCCTCACTCTGGTATACCCGCTGCCAGCGGCTCTGGCCAGCTGCCAGCGGCCCTGGCAGCGGTTCCTGCTGTTTTCGCCTTCTTTCCTTGCTTCTTCTTCTTGCTTTGCTTCACCTTTTCCTCAAGCTTTCTTCCTTGCTCTTCCATGCTCCATCACAACTCTCAAATCACGAGCCAAGGTCCATCCTTCTTACATAACTCTTCATTGGTTCCCGAGCTCACTCACTCACTTATACTCATAAATCCCGCCTTTTGCACATAAGTGAGATCACAGCCCAAAACTCACAAAAGCTAACAAAAGTACATATAAAGCATCAAAACACACCCTAAAATGCTTCTCTCAACCCATTATAAGAAGGCTTATCAAGACTTGGTTGAGATTCCAAAAGGTGGCTTGAAGATGCCATAGGCGGAACGGTCTGGTTGCGTATGAAAAGCTGAAGCACAAAGACAAACAGTCAGGCATTTTGGAAGAAAATCACTCAAAGATACCTTAGATGGTATCAAAGAAGCTTGCTCAAAGATACCCCAGACGGTATCACAAAGGCTTGCTCAAAGATACCCTAGGCGGTATTAATGAAGATTTCTCAAAAGACCCCCAGGCGGTATAATGACCGGCTGTGGGTCTATACAGGGCAACTTATGAAGGTTGCTCAGAAATGCCCCAGACGGAACATTTTCGGCTGAGGGCCCATTGACTGGTTTTATTGAGGACTTCTCAAGGATACCCCAACCGGTATCCGAGAAGAATCGCTCAAAGACCCCCCAGACGGCATAAGGACCGGCGGAGGATCTTATAAATACAGATCAAGAGCGAATTATGAGGTAGGTTGCTCGAGCATACCCCAGACGGCATAAGCCCGGTTGAGGGTATGATGGATGCAAACTTTGAAGAATCATTTGTAAAAAGATACCCCTGACGGTCCATAACCGTCTCTGGATCTACTTTGAAGATCAATTGTTTGAAGATGACCCAGGCGGAATATTTCCGGTTGAGGGTCTATTGAATGCAAAATGTTTTAAGACTATTGTCTGAAGATGCTCCAGACGGCATGTAACCGTCTGCGGGTCTCTTGAATGCAACCCCTTGAAGACAATTGTTCAGAGATGCCACAGGCGGTATATCACCGTTTGTGGGCCTATGGAATGCATTATTGGAAAGTCCATTGTTTGAAGATACCTCAGACAGTCCATAACCGTCTGAGGGTCTATTTTTGAAGACCATGGTTTGAAGATACCCCAGACGGTCCAAACCGTCTGTGGGTCTACCAAATGCAAGGCATGAAAGAAAGGGCTTAAGGTGCCCCAGACGGTGTAAGACCGTCTGTGGTTCTACTCAGATCAAGAGAAAATCAAGAGTCAGCCGGTACCTAAATGAGTTGATTGAACAAGCACTCAACCGGTATTTGGATGCGTTCGAAAGAGGAAGCTGGTTGCACAATTAAGCAGCCAGTATCAGCTCTCAAGAAATTTTTGCAAAGTTTGTAAAGTGAAGAGGAGAGAGGGGGTGTGTCTCTATTTATAGACAAACCCAGAAGGCGAATCGCCACCTTCTGCCTCAAGCATTCGAATTCAAACTTCAAAGAAAAAAGGCGGGAAGCAGACCAACCATCACCTCCCCACCACTTGACACCTGTCACACATGACACGTGGCAAAGCCACGTCACACTTGTGAGGGGCAAATGTTTAGGGTAAAAGTACCCTATGCCACGTGGCCCAGTAGCATGATGACACGTGGCAGCCCACCAGAGGCCCAACGGGATTCAATCGGATACTGACACGTGGCATTGTACTCCCAATGGGGGAGCAGATCTTCATCTGCGATAAATAGAGGAAATTCCTCATTTATTAGACATTTAGGAATACAAACACAAAACCGAGCAATATTAATTGCGGAATCTCTCTGAATCAGGGAGAAAAACCCACTTACTTTCCGCACCTTTACCCATCCGGAATCATACTAACTTGATCGTCGGAGGCGAAACTCCACCCAACCGGAATTTCGTAGTTTTGCAGGTACAGACGTCAGGCGCGCATACTCAGGATTGTAACTCTCCCGAGGGACTCCAAAAACCCCCGAAACAATTATGATGATTGTTGTGTCAATTAGTTATACATTGCTTGATTATTCATGATTTATTGTTATTGCTTGATCACACCCCTTCTTGCAAGTTTAAAGGGAATATGTACTTGAAAGCACGCCTAATAAGATAACTAATAATTTGATTTTAGGCCTAATAGGATTTTAATTCAAGTGATCGCTAATAATAGATTTATTTGTGCATTAATAATAAACCAACGTAGATTAAATATGCTTAGGATTAATTTAGGGATTTGTTAAACGTCGCCCGCAAATCTCCACATAAAGCCCACAAATATTTTTACTTTGACTCTTTTGCCCTTTTTCTAATTTTTACCGAAACCGTAATTCACTCTCACGAAGAATGTGGAGCTGGAGTGGATCGCCGAGGGACACCGAAGAGCCGTCATCGTCGCCGGAAAGCGAGATAATCCGGGGGAAAAATTACGAAAAGTAGGGGTGGCGTCTGGTCAGGACGCCGCCACCATGGCTGTGGCGTCTGGTCAGGACGCCGCCACCATGGCTGTGGCGTCCTGGCC